TGTGATGCTGCTTGGCCTGCTGTGTTCATCCAGCTCTACGCCTTGTTATCTCAGATTTTCCAGCATCTGCAGTTCCTACTATCTCTTATGTTTATCGCCCCTAGCTTTGGTCTGCCATGACCGTATTGAATAGCGAAGCAGGCTCAAAAGGGGCTGAATGGCCTGCTCCTATTGTCGCTGTTTCTGTGTCTACCTCTAGATTTGTCCCACTGAATCCTCAAAGACCTCAGGCAGACCATCCCGCAGCCCATTTAGGAGCTCATTCTGCTCAGCCTTTCCTGCTAGGGTATGGTCAAAGGGAAAGCGAGAGGCTTGGGAAGACAGCAGGAGCGCGTCTAATTAAGAACGATCTCTTGTCACAATAGTGTGGTGACACACAAATCCACCTTGGACCTTCCTGAAACTGACGGCCGTGGAAGGCAATGTCAGACAGTACTGTTACAGGTGCCCTGGCTGAGTGAGTTATCCTGTCTGTACACCCTCCTGCAGCTCTTCCTTACTATTCAAACACAAGCCTTGGAAGCAAATAGATGGCAAATACAAGGCGCAGTGTTGACATTCGGCCGGAGTTGCCCAGTGGGGGCAGGACCATGGCGATTGTGGGCGTGCCAGGGGGAGAAGGAGCTGGTCAGATCTATGCTTTACGTTCCATCTGGTTTGAATCCCAGTGTGTGTCTTGCTGCACGGGTTAGCTTTAAATCAGAAGGCGAGGATGGGAACACTAATCATTTCAGACCAAAATGTTAGGTGGTTTTTTTTATTTACATGTATTTACATTTTATTTACAGCAGACAGCACTATGAAGAGTTCACTTGCATAGAATTTTAACTGTAGAGGGCAGGTTTGGCTCATGTGAAATACAACATACCACATTATTGGTTTTGATTGTGATTTTTGAAAGGGCAGGGCAGTGGGACTAATGGTTAGAACGTGCTGGCACAGCAACAATGGGCAGAATTGTCCACAGTTCGCTATTCTGGTTATATCCGATTAAACTCTTATCTCTCCTTTACATTCGCAGTCTCTCCTATCTCTCCTTTACATACCCGATCTCTCCTGTCCCATCTTTACATTCCCGGTCATCCTATCTCTCCTTTATGTTCCTGGTCTCCCCTATCTCTCCTTTACGTTCTCGGTCTCTCCTATCTCTCCTTTACGTTCCCGGTCTCTCCTATCTCTCCTTTACGTTCCCGGTCTCCCCTATCTCTCCTTTACGTTC